AAAAAAAAAAAAAAAAAAAAGCCTCATTCCATAAAAAGCAAGGAAGTCACGGTCTTAAAAGTGCTGCGTATAACATTCTTAAACTCTGTCTTTCTTGTGCCGTTTCAACGAGGAGTATTCACGTACTTTGAACAATGTTTTTATTTCGAAGGTTCACTATTAGTCACGGCTGTTAATACAGGGGAAATGAAGAATAACAAGGTTCTAAAGAAATCCTAACAAAAAACGTCGCTGGGACAACAAAGCAAAGACTTCTATCCATTTACTGGTGGGACGATTTGGGTAAACGTCACAAAAGGCGCACGTCCGCTTACTGGTTCCTTCTTTTAAATGAATCAATATCCTTGAATGAGAAAAATATATGGCCAAAGAACCTAAAAACTTTAAAACCATAAAGATATTGTATGGTGAAAATCGAAATGTAGGCATCCCATGTTTTTACGTCAGAGACCCCGCATCTGAAGCACTCAAGACTGAAAAATGTCAGTGGAAGCTAATATACGTCAACAAGATAGCTCAAATTCTTTAGAAGCTAAACAAATATAATAAAAGCTTTGGCAAAAACCTCACCATTGGAAGGGACAAAGGCGAACTTTGGTGCTCATGTTATTTAACTTGTGCATTTCATCATCTGTGAGCTTGAAATCAAGTACGTTGCAATTCTCACAAACTCGTTCTGGCCTCGTGCCCTTAGGAATTGCTGCCATACCACGTTGAATTAAATGTCGTATTAAAACCTTTAAAAAATTGCAATTAAATTGATCAAAAAAAATGGTTGAAATTTTCAGAAGAGAACACAAGTCATAGAGGAAATAAAGATAATTCAAAAGCAATGTTGAAAAAATTAAACAGAGAACTGTTTCACCTGTGCAGGGGTCTTACCGTTTTCTTTTGGAAGTTCAAGCACTGATTTGTCTTTCAAAGGCTTCCCTTCTGGCCATTTGTGACCTGGAACACAATCGGTTCTAGCTGGAAAACCAAGAAAGACACAGGCAGTAAATGTTATGCCATGTTTCTTGCAAAGTTCAAAAGGTCCATGCTGTGGCCAATAAATATGACGTTCTACCTGTAAAACTACTGATGTCCCAAACAAAAAAAAAAGTACTAACAGACATGAACAAAAAGTTTCCCAGTGCTCACTTGTATATGGCGCTGTCACTTCTGCTCCTTCCATAATATGCAACATTTGCTCTTCGTTAAAACTTGACAAGCCGATAGCCTAAGAAGTTTTGCTTAAGCAGTTGCGAAGACAGTAAACACCATATCATTAAAAGCACCATATAACCCAAACTTTCTTCTCCTTGTACAGTTTCTCCGTTGCCTTTCAAATCACTGAATGATCAAGCTTTTCAAATATAATAGTGGAAAACGTTCCATTCCGCGTTTTTGCTGTAAATTTCCCGTCTTCTTGTCAACAAATTTTGCACAAAAAAGAATATTTAACAATCCTTTAAATAAAAAAATCTTTCGTGTACGTATAAAAATTTCCAAAAATCTAGTTATTCTGTCATACAATTTTGCAGTAAATCATCTATGTACAAAATCGTTTACAGTTTCACAAAAAGCAAAAAAAAGAAAATTTGAACTTTAACCAACCTCAGTCATACAAGGGCAGTGAAAAAAATAAAAACCGGCATAATCCAGCTGCAAGTCATTAAACTGCCTATCGAAATACTTTTCAACATCTTCAGGTTCACAAACGTAGAAAAGTAACTGAAAAAAACAAAAAAAAAAAAAAAATATTAGCAATATATAACTCTGAGAGATATACAATTGAAAATGATACTAAGCATAATAAAAACAAAAAATTACAGAAAACCTTTGTGGTAATTAAGATATCTTCTCGCTTCAATTTACCACTACTAAAGAACTCGCGAAGGACATCCCCAATAATCGCTTCGTTGCCATGAACTTGAGCTGTATCTATCAGACGATAACCAAAATCCAGTGCAGTACGTAATGCCAATTTCAGAGCCGTTTCATCTGTTGACGTCGACTGACCAAATAAACGAAATCAAGTGTTATAGGGAAGAGGGAACCGACGCACACTCTTCAATTTTCTGAAACATCCTTCATATTTCTATTCGTCAGTTACCAGGAAGAAATTGGTAGAGAAAAAAAAATAAATAAAGCAGCAACCTGCTATGTCCCCAAGACCCAGTAATGGAAGTTTTGCTCCAGTTGATAGGTTTACAGACGTATCCATCACTTCGAGTTTCTTCTGCTTCAAACTGAAAATGATCTACCTAACAAGTACCAATTAAAGCGGGCTGAGTGAAGTTTCCAAGCGTTTAATAAAAGAATAGACCATCAGATTCCCATTAATTAATAGATGGACATTAACCAACTGCACATCTTGGACCAAGATTGCACACTTTATACGAGCAGTTTATTGCCAGCCTTCAGTGAGAAAAAACACAAAACGAAGTAAAATACAATACCCAACTGTACGACGACCAATAAACGTATCACTGATAAGCTGATGAATTAATGGTTATGAAGCT